TTTATTTAAAGGACATTTAAAACACAAGAATTATTATTAAATTTTACATCTAGAAATATTTTATGAGAAGTACTGAAGATTTAATATTGTTTAATAGTCATGCTCATGATTAACCATTTAGCAAAGGACCAATATTGAAAATCACTTTTAAGATAAAATTTATAGTAATGGTCTGTTATATTAAGGAGCTTTGATCATACTTTCGGAGTATAAATGGGAGCAATGTATTTTCAAAAACCATTTAGCCATAAATTGTCAAGTTAAGCATTTTTATTCCCAACTATCCAGTAATTTCACTCCTAGATACATACTCTAGAGAGATTTTTGTGTATATATACCAAGAGATAGTACAAAAATAACTCATGAAATCATTGATCATAATAGCAAAAAACTGGCTTAATCATCCATAGAAGGAAGATGAACAACAAAGTATAGAACAGTGATACAGTGGAATATTATATAGCAGCGAAAAGGATTGAATTATATGTAACAACACAGGAAGATCTAGAAATATTTCGCTTAGTATAATATTGAGTAAAAAAACAAGTATCAGAAGACTATATACAGTCAGACATCCTTTTAATAAAGCTCAAAACCAAGCAAAACTAAAAAGTATATCACCTAGTGATGTAGACATATGACTTTTTTTTTAAGACAAAGGAAAGATAAAACACAAAATTCAGGATAGTGGCTACCTGTGGAGTACAGGCAGGGAGGTGGGTTGGGAAAGACTTCTTAGGCTGATACAAAAATTGGTCACAGTACAGTTTTTAGGTAGGATAGTGGGTTCATGAGTGTAGTACTTAGGGTTGTTGTGCTTCCTAAAAATACTTTCATACACTCTTTTGTATGTATAGTTTAAAAGGTTATACACATGTAAAGTGTATATTTATAGAATATTAGTAAAAAAAGTCATACTCAATACTCAGTACATATTTATAAGCAGGTGGCAGGAACAATTTAAGAATACAAATCAAACTGATAATTGGGAAATTTTAAAAAGTGCAGAGACTTTCTATATGTATAAAAGCCTCATTTAAAATTTATTTCAGGGGATTTTTATTTACATTCATCATTAAGAAACTCAGCTGTCACTTTACATTTGATTTTTACAACTTTGTAATAAGTGGCAAAATCAAAAAAGAAATGAGGACATCATAGAACATCATACCCGAAAACAGATTTGTTATCAAACTCTGTTTTAAAGATTTCTTAAACCTAAGAGCTACAATTCTGAAATTTTCTTCTGAGAGTTTATTATTTTTAAAAGCTATATTTCATGTTCTTTATATACTTGCAAGGCTGACATGAGTTAATTGCATAGTTGAAAATGGTAATTACCTGGTAACTATTTATCACTATTATTGTGTCTCATGAAAACCGAGGATTGCAATTAGCCCTCTATTCATACCATGTCACTTGTAATGGTAAAGTATTTGCATAATGTACATTCTACGGCACTCTTTTCTTCCCTGTGAAATTCAGATAGTATTTTACTTTAGCAACAAATCTTTTAGGCTTTCATGTAGAGATGAAGGACAGTTAACTTGCATTTGTCGTCTGCCCCACAAATATTCTCAGTGGGTGAGATAAATACTCATAGCGCTTGTCCCAAAGGCTAAAGTCTTTGTGGAATAAGAACTTGTGTATTATTTTTGAGATTTCTGTAACAGAGATCTACTAAAATGTTAGTAGAGAAGTATAAAAATTAGACTAATCATCTCAGTATCAGCAGGTAATCAGTGGATGTTAGAGTACTGAATTGGTGGTCAGAATTGAGCTTGAGTTCTCAACTTCTTATTTGCTGAACTGTGATGCCCATTTAACATCTTTGTGCCTTACTGTGCTCATATCTATAAACAGACATAATAGCTCCTCTATCCTTCCTCACAGCATTGTTATGAGAATGGAAACAGGTTGATATATATGAAAAACCTTTACAATTCCAAGGAATATGCTAATGTTAGTTTGTCACTAGACTAAGGTCTTTTTTATCTCTCAACTATATTAAAATTCACAGTAAATGATATCAAAAAGCTTATTTAGCTCTTTAAAAATTACTATACAAACTATACAAATTTCTTAATAGAAATAAAAAAGTGCCTGTAGGGTCTGCTTGAAAAATCATTCTATTGATTTTTACACAAATGAACTAATTAGATGTAAATATCAAATAATACCTCCACAGAATCCTTAGACTATCTAGATTTATTAGTCAAGTCAAACCCCCTCTTTCCTATTTAACCTCCAGAGAGACTAGCTGGTCTTTTCTCTTCACTTAGGTACTGTGGAAACAGAAATCATGCCTCTCATGAGTACCTGCTGCTATCATCAATACAGCAATGCTGTGGACAGGCTAGATGGGCCTCTAGGTTTGGAATTATACGTCTATGCCAGGGCCTAGTTTGATTTCTAGTTCTGGAATCTTGATCAGGTTATCTGCAAGTTGCTTTAGAGAAACATGTTGCTTTAGAGATTCATGTACAGAGAGGCTGTAAAAAAGCGATTTGCTAACTTACATTAAGAAATACTGTAAACCCACCTTCATAATATCATTAATGCATTATCTTTGCTTTATAGTTCCTAAGGGCTTTTGAACCCAGTATCTTATTTTTGAACCTTGTGACTTATGAGTTTTGGACAGAGTAACCTAATTTATTTCTAAACTGTTTATTTATCAGGTGCAGAATACCGAAAAGTGCAAAGCATAATAGGAGACCATATCTTAGTTGTCAAAAATAACATAGGGTTAACAGTGCTTCATATTTCTTTCCAGTTTTTTTCTATGCATGTTAGTGTAACTGAGATCATACTGTATATGCCATTTAAATGTCAACGTTTCATTTTTTTTCTGGTTATGATGGTAATGTATGCCTTTTGTAAAAACTTTTTGGAAAAAGGTGTAGAAAACAGACAAAAGTCCAAAGCAGAAAATGAAAACCACATATAATTTACTACTGTAGTTAACCACCATGAACATTTTTTGGTGTATTTACTTCCAGTACTTTTCTCCTTTTTATTACTATTTTAAATCCTCACCTGAGGATATTTTTTCCATTGCTTTTTCCAAGAGAGTGGAAGGGGGGAGGGGGTAGTGAGAGAGAGAGAAACATTGATGTAAGAGAGACACATCCAGCGGTTGGCCCCGGCACGCACCCTGACCGCCCGAGCCTGCAACCGAGGTACGTAGCCTTGGCCAGAATCGAACCCAGGACCATTCTGTCCGCAGGGGACGCTCTAACCACTGAGCCAAACCGGCCAGGGCTCCTTTCCACTACTTTTAAAACGCAGTGGGGCTCGCTCCAGGCAGGAGCGCTGGGCAGCCTCTACTGTCCGCCGGCGGCCGGGGCGCAGCTCAGCACCCTTCTCCCTGGACAGGGCTAGCGAGAGCGAACGCTGCTCTCCTGCGGGGCTCGCGGGTCCCCTGGTCTGGGCTCATCTGCCCATTGTTCTCGTCTTTCCCCAGCGCCTTCAAGGCCCCTGACACCTGCCCATATTCTGGAAGCCCGTACTCTCCTCTGCGGCCCTTCGCTTCGGCTTATCCCGCACCCACTTCACCTTCTGCGCACCGAGGCCGCTCGTTCGGAGCCGCAAAGGGGCCCTCAAGCCGCAGCGAGCTGAGGGGCGCCCCGGGGCCCGCTAGGCGTCTCCCGGTGAAGGGCTGTGGTTAAGGAGGGCCCTCTGGGCTGTCTCCCGCGCCAGGGCCGCCGGCCACTCGCAGAGGCCAGCGCGTCGTCGCCCCTCCGCAGGTTATCATCAGAGCGCATTTCCTTGCGGCCCAGTCTTCACATCCTGCTGTTCTCGGGGGTGGTGGCGGGGGGTGTCTTTCTGGTCACGAGAAGGCGGCTGGATTGCTCTTCGCCTCTCGGGAGATCCGGGCAGGCCCCGGTCACAGAACACCGAAGGTCCGAGCCCCTCCGCCGCGCTTCGCGAGCCCGGGAAGTGCGTCCCTTCTCGCTCGCCTTAAGCCGGGCGCGGCGGGACCGCACTACTGTGCCGCCAGCCGGAGGGGGGTGCGCGCACGTGCGGCTCTCCGCTTTCCAGCCGGCGGCAGTGGCTCCAGGGAAACCAACGCTCAGACAACTAGGCCCCAGATCACGTTGTCCCGGGAGCCCGCAGTGAAGGGAGGAACGGCCGCCGCGGAGCTAGGCAGCGGGCGCGCCCCTTTCCTCCCCCTCGGTTCGCCTCGACCGTCCCGGGCTGCGGGGCGCGCCGGCCGCCGCCGAGCTCCCTCA